ACAAAATGATAAAAGTAAAATCTTTCAAGAATAACAAAAATATAACAATAGTAATGAAAGGCTAAACTAACTTAATAATAAGAATTATCATAATTATTAAGTAAATAAATAACGTGCATAACTTTTTAAATATCATATAGAAATTTGTTTTAAATATAAATGATAGAAAACAAATTAATAGTAAAATTAACGATTAGAAAAGCGCTTAACTTTTTAAATTTCGCTTCAAATATTAATAATAAATAAAATAAAGTTTATAATAAACTTTTTTAAAAACATAAAATATAAAACAAACAATACTTTTTCTGATGAAGCTGGGAGAAAGTTTTAAACAATGCTTCTTCTTTTAATAACCAGTTTTCTGCCTAAAATAATAATATAATATATCTAATAATATTAAAAAATAATGTAATAAAAAATATATAAAAAAATAATAATAATAAATGTATACCTTAATTATATTAAAGATATTTGTAAAAAACATATATAAAAAAGTAATAATAGTGTGCATCCAGAATTATAATTAATATTTATAATTAAAATAAATAAACCCAAAATAACAACAATAAAAATGTAATAGTAAACTAAATAATAGCTATATTCGTTATAAAATAATAATAGTATTCTAAAGAGTACATTATTAATAGTCATTGTAAGATAATAGTAAAAGTAACAAAAACGATTGAAATAATTATTAATACAATAATAGTAATACAATAACGATAATAAAAGTATTAGTAATAATAATAATTTAGTAATAATTTTTATTATAAATATATTTAATAGTAATAATATAGTAATAAAGTAACAACAATCATATATATAATGATGTAAAGTATTAATAAATGTTGATAATAATAGTAGTGTATACTAGTAAACGTAATAGTGATAATAGTACTATTCTTATTAGAAATAATAGTAATAATAGTAATAGAGTAACAATATTATTAATGAAATTAATAATAGTAATAATTAATTATTTTAATAATTTTGATAGTAATAAGCGCACCGCCGATAAATACTCGGACATTTTAAAATCATTTAAAAAACCGGCCACTCTGCGCTTATAATATTCTTTTGTATATTCAATAAACTTCCGTTCAAAAGTTTCTTCGTAGTACCTTCAAAAAAATGTACGTTTTTCATAAGTAAAATAGAAAACTATTAGAAATTTTTTTTTCAAAAATAATATGATTTGCTTTTTGAATCCGAATTATTGCAAAAAAAGTCGCTTCAAAATATTACTTATATCCGAAAAATTATATTATTTCTTACTTCTCATGTTTATGATTATTAATACAATAATAAAATAAAAAGTTTATATTATTATGTTAAACTACAAACTTTCGTAAACAAGTTAACTACTTAAAAAAAATCCTATGAATTATAATTATTTCAAAAAGAAAACTTTACTTTGATACGTTTAATACTTTTAGTCATTTCTTTTTATTATTTTAAATTTATTTTAATAACTTTTTAAAAATAAATTTTTTAATAAAAATTCATTTTTATTTATAATATTACTTCCCATACATTTTTATTTTTTACAGCTTTTCCTTATGATTTTTACAATTTTATTGTTAATATACAACATCTGTATTATTTGTAAGCCTTTAAAAAGATAATTACATTTAAAGTTTACTATAAAACCGGTAATAACTTCTTTAAAAATATTAAATATAGAATATCATTATCTTAAAAATATGGATTATATAATATTTTCATTTCTTCTAATTAATAAGTATCGCTAAATATAATAATAATTTTAAGGCAAAGTAGAAACAAATATATAAGTCTCTAAGTAAACATTATAATACTATTTTTCTGTTATTACTCTTAAAAATTACTAAAAGTTATACTTATAAAATATTTATAGCGTAGTTTTTCAATTATATGAAGAAATGAAAAGTCATAAATATTAGCCAAAACTTTAAGTATGCAGCAATAATATTATTGATATCTACTAGTTCTTTTGCTGTTATTGTATATAATAGTTTTTAAAAGAAATCATAAAAAAAATATTCACTTTTGATTGGAATCCAAACAGACAAAACTTTCTATGCACAACTTTACGTCTGTAAAGGAACTCTCCAGCCCGTCACGGTTAAGCGTGATTGCCTCAAAGTTTAAGTAAAAAAAAAATTTCTTATTAAATATACTTTATAAATTATATTTTTGGTTATAAAATAATTTGATATTTTTTTATCAATAAAAAAAGGAAAAAAATTCATTAATAATGAAAATGTATATATATCTATAAACCAGTTAATATTAAAAAGATATAAGTTATTTTTATTTCTGTATATAATAATAATCATACTATAAATATATATCTTTAAAAATATAATTAATCTAATCTAATAATGATGATTAACAAGTAAAAAAAAGAAATAATAAAAGTTAAAAGGCTTTTAATAAATAATAAATGAAAAAAGGAATACTTTAAGTTTAAAACTTCTAATCAATAATAAAAATACGTTATTTATATTCGAGTGTGAAACAAAATTTGCAAATAATACTTCGCGCAGTTATTAATAATGCTAAACGTGGCGCGCGCGGAAGGAAGACTTCATTCAATTACCCACGTTGCACTAAAATATACCACTCTTTTCCATAAATCTTTTTGGCTTTTTGCTATTGTCTAAATATACTCTTTTTAAAATTATTTTAGCGAGAGGTTTAAGTTTAATATTTTAAATTTTTTTTTTTAATAAAACCTTTAGCACTTAAATAATTATAATAAAATTAGCTAAAAGTCTTTTTTATTTATAATTAATGCACTTTAACAACTTTGGCCGTTTTTCAAATAAAAATATTTATGGATACTTATTCTATATTACTTTTTCTATTTTTTTATAGAGCAAGTAAAGAAAACTTATATTTCGAATTTGTTAATTCGTTAAACTTAAAAAGCAATTAAAAAATTTTCTTTAGTGATAGTTAACTTCTATTTTTATAATAAACAGTCAACCAATAATAATCTCCAATAAAAATAAATTTTCATAGTAAAGAGTTTATAATTGGAAAAGCAATATTTTTAATATTCTTTTATAATAAAAGTGTTATAAACATAATATTTTAATAAAAAAAATTACTAAAAATTGTTCATTTATAAAATTATTGATACGTGGCACAAAATGCGTACTATAATTACGTTTTATTATTATAAAAATAGTGAATTCATGAAAATTTATTAAATTTAAGAAGTTATAAAAATTGAAAAGAATTATAGATATTCTAAAACTTTTTGAAAATGTGTTATCTTTTATCTCTTACGGAATTATATATTTTAATATAAATTTTTTAATATATCTAATAATTAGATTATATATTTAATATATAAATAGTAAAAACTTTAAATATTCGAAAAAATTTTTTAATAGTTTAAGAAAAAACTTATATTTCATATATATAATTATTTTACACACCAAAATCAGAATATCCGCGCTATTATTTAGTAAAAGTGGTCACAATATTAAAAATTAAAGTTTTTAAATTATTACTGTTAATATTACTAGATACTTACTTAACAAAATTACAAAAGACCTGAAGATATATATATATAATGTCTTAGTTAAAGAATATTTTATAATTGTAATAAATATTAAAAATATTGTTAAAAATCAATAAAACCAAAATTCTAATAATCAATTTCAATACTATAGTATTAATCTAATTACACAAAAAAAATTAAAAAAATATCATTTTTAAAATTAAAAAAAATAAAAATTATTTATTATTAGAGAATTATAGAAAAAATATTATAAAACTTTAAAAAATCATTTATTTAAACTCCTCTTTGCGAATTAAATCGACACTTATTTCTTTAAAAAAGTTATTAATTAATATTCAAAAAATTTATTAAATTTAAAAGAGTCGAAATAATTTGGAAAATTTTTTTAACTTATTAAATACTTAAATTTTGATTAACATAATAGATTTATAGAAAAAACAAATTTTAATATTTATTAAAATTTTTAATTATAACTTTAAAATGATAATTAAAATTTTTAAATACTTCTTGCAAAGCAGATAGCAAAGTAGACTTAATATTTTCAACTAAAAATAGTTTCCACTGATTCAATCCTTAATAAAAATATAGCATAATTTATATTTATGGACTATATTATTTAGAAATAGTATAACAGTAAAGATTAAATTATAAATTATATTTATAACACTATATATAATATTATTATTAGTATTAAAATACACATTAAGAAAGTAATAAGATATTGAAAAAGATAATATAATAAAAATATATAAAGAAAAATATTTTTAAAAAGAAATTATTATAAGTAGGCAACAACAATGGAAAGATGCAAGACAATTGGAAATGTCTTAAAAACTATTTAAAAAGAAAATGGAAAAAATGTAATAAACGTAATTTTTATAGTAAAAAAAGTAAACTTTTAAATTTGTAAAAACAATAAAAATTTTAAGGAGCATTAAATATAAAATAGATCTGATAATTAAGCAAAATATTAATAATATTTCCAGTTCAAAAATAAAAATTTATAAAAAATTTTTTAATTTAAAGTAAAATATTATATAAAGTAAAGTAAAACTATTAAGTCAAAATTATTAGAATAATAATTTTTAAAATAAATTGTAACTTGAAAAAATTTTAAAATAGTAATAAATATAAAAGCAAATGTCATATACATTCAAATTATGATGAGTAATAGTAATAAGCCATAGTAAAGTTGCAAATATTATTTTTTTTAGAAATATTATAGTAAACAATTAAAATGTTACTAATTAAAAAATAAAACAATAAAAGAGAAATTGAAATATAATATTTTCAAGGATTAGCTCACAACAAAGGAAAGCGTTTAATTCAATAATATTAATAAAATATATAATAAATTATATATAAGAAAGTTTATAAGTAGTTACTCTTTGAAATTGAAAATATGAAAAAAGTTTTAAAAATACAATAAAATTAAATGATCCTCCAAATTTAATTTTACCAAGTTGATAAATTTGATAACACTGTTGTCCTTGCTTTACTTCGTAAAGCACATAAGCACTATTAAGATGATTAAGCAAGCTATTTATAACCTATTTACAAAATAAAAATTTAGCAATTTAAAAAAAAAACAGGTAAAAAAAGTTAAAAATTTTATTTATCAAACAAAAAAATAATATAATAATAATACTAAATTTAAAGGAAATGATTTAAAATACAAGATTTTATTTATTAATATTAAAAAACTTTCCTAAGAATTTTTTAAGTAAAGATGTATACAATGCTTACCTTCGCTGCAGTTTTATACCTTACCCAAGTAGTAGAATACTCCCTTAATAACTCTAAACTTTGTTTATTTTTAAGAACCTTTTTCAAAAAAAAAAAATTAAATAAATTTTTTATATATATTTCGCTTTCTTTTACAAATATTTCTAACCATGTAGCGCTTCTCTGCATTTTTTTTAAAATATTGTTCTACAAGAATATAAAGATACTGCTGTCTTGAAGAGCGAACATCCATTTCATCTTCTTTAGTAAAGCAGTAAGAATAAACTTCACTATTATAAAAAGTTATAACTATGTTGTAATTTTATAGCAAAAGATTAAGTCGACGTGAGACGAGTCATGTACTCGTCAACGGATATTTTTTCCGGCACATCTCCCATAAGCTTGTTAAAAGTAAATGTCAATTTATCCAATAATAAGTTTTGCTCTAAAAGTTCAGGCTCTTCAACGGAGAGACTCATCTTAATGTTTTAAACTAAAACTGAAAAAGAGCTCTCGTACCCTCCCTTGACATTATTTCACTAAAAAAATAAAGGAGGGCTGCAGTTGCACTAGATTAATTGAAAGCATCTTAACCAATAAGGTAATTACAAACTTTTATATATTGCTATTTTTCTAACTCCAGTACGCCTAGTTAGTGATTAACTATAGCGTCTCTAACGTAACACTAAAGAGAAAGCAAGTTAAACATTTTATTTTATATTAGCTTGCGTCAACACCAAAGAGCTGAAGCCTCGAGTTGATGTAGCCTTATATATGTGTATCCTTTTCTGGATTTTAGCGTGCACTTTCAAATATTCCCGTACCAGTTGCTTACTCCTATAACTCATTTTAGTTATTACCTCTTAATGGGATATTCCAAAAAATTATCCCTGTTATGTTCTTTACCTATTTTTAAGTGGTGGTAAGGACACTCTCTTACAATATCGAAAAAACTATAAAAACTTTCAGCGTTTTGCCTTGAAGAAAAATGAACTCTTCTATTTTTTTGGTTTTACTTTTTTTTTTTTTAAAAGTGTTTAATAAAGTTATTTACCTAAATTATATAAAATTTTTGGATAATACACGAAGTTAAGGGTGTTTAAGCGCGAAGCAACCTTCATCTAAAAAAAAAAGTTGTTTTCAAAACTTCTTTTAATATGGACGTGAGAAACAAATTTATTTTTACTTTTTGATGGTTTTGTATGAAAAATTATTATATACACCAATTAATGTAGTTTTTGAGTCTTATTTAATTTTCCCGTCCATTCGACAAAGATTGCGAAGATTACGTTGGAATTTTCCTTTTCCAAATTTTCCTCGTGATTACTAGTTAAATGGTGAGAACTATTAAATGGGTTAAAAACTTCGAATACGAATTTCACCTCAACTTTAAAAACCTTTGCTTAGAGCGCGTTTCTCATATGGCGACAGTTTTCTTGGTGCCAAGAGCTTTAACTAAGTTCTTAGACAAGAAGACTACATGTTCAGCTACTGAATCGTAAAGAACAAAGGCAGAGGCCTTAGCTATGAGGGCTGTGCAAAACATCATTCCACATATACCGGCCGACTTTGCCCTGGCGAGCTGTTTGTTATGTCGCTTTTACAGCAAGAAGGCTATTACTTGACAAGTCATGTAGATATAGCAGATACAGATGTTATGATCGGTCGATAGCATAGTATAAACAGGCCTTCACTGAATGCCAAGAAATATAACGTCCGGGTTGCCTCTTTTAACCTTCACCACTACGTAAGAACAAATGTGGCCACCACCACGACTTTACTTCATTTATAGTGCTAAGCACTTTACCAAGGGGGAATAGAAATACCCCGCCGTTAAAAGTTACCGCTGTCGCGATATCCGTTTTCTCAAGCAAACTCGCCTTGCTTATAGAGATCTTCACCCCCTGCCTGATAGAGTAGAAACAAGTGAAGTGATAAGAGATATTTATTCGCTGCTAGTTGTCTTGCGGTGACAGGGCAGCGCCTACTCGCACTCCTAAAACGTGGCTGTCCAGATACTGCTGGACTCCTCTTGGATAGCCGTCTTAAAAGAAAGGACAAAAATTATTTGAGGCCATCAAGTTGTAACACTTTTATTTATGGTTAAGAGCTTCTTTTTAAAAAAGTGAATAACTGCTTTAAGAAACCAAAAGAATCTTTATTAAATTATATTAGTTCTAAAACTAAAGTGAAACCGTATACACTTTACCTGCTTAAGGCACTCCTTAAAAAACTATGGTAGTGGCGCGTTTTACTTCAATGTAGCAGTGGAAATGGTTTGAAAGTGACTCGGTTCTACAACTATTAACACTTTACCAAGTAATACCCATTTAAATTTAATAAAAACAAGTATTGATATTAATATATTAGTAGGGAGATTAGGCATTGCAAAGAGGCTGATAAAGTTGAATCGTTGTTGTGTCGGCAATAAACTTGTTTTACTAAGTTGATTTCGGGGACCTAAACTTTGTATGGTCTTCCTTTACTTCACAAAAAAAATTGTGACTCAACTTTTAAATTTTAATATATCTTATATACAAGCCAAAAGAGTCTTCCAAGCTCTACTTTAACATCCACTACTGAAGTGTTTTTGAACAAATGAAACATTTGCTTTTTACTAAAAGAAATAATCATATATTGTTATTATTATAAGGACCTTATCGTCTAAATAATGTCGACTCTCACGGAGGCTAGTTTGCTTGTCTCACAAAATGCTAACGAGCAAGAACTTTTAGAGGATGAATCCCTTTTAGAGGAGGCAAACTTCTGACCGTTTATCATTTTTATAATATAATTTTTTGTTAAATCAATTAATTGATATTTCCTTGATGAGACGACTTTTTAAAAACAGGAATTCTTTCAAGTAATTGACGAACTTCAAAAGTTTGGTATTAACGCTGCGGATATCAATAAACTTAAATCCAACGGCGTTTCAACTGTTCAGGTCTGTAATAAGACTCTATTACAAATTCATAAATTATATGGAATTTGTTTTGGAAGGGCGTATTAATGCAGACAACCAAATTTCTTTGCGGTATAAAAGGCCTTTCTGAGGCAAAAGTTGAAAAGATAAGAGAAGGTATTCTATTCTGCACTAAAATAAAAGAATCACTATCAAAAGGGTTTTAGTTAGTTGTGTAGTTAAATATTTAATTTTTTTAAGTTTCCGTTTAAACAAATAGAAATTTGGGAAATTATTGTTTATTAAGTATAAACTCTTTAATACTGCTTACAATTTATTATTCTGGTTATATTTTTATTTGAGTTATACTATTAAGTTTATATATATTGATTTTTGTATATATTTCTTTTACTTATATACTTTATAAAAGTAAATTTATATACTAATAGATAATAGTGAATTTATTACTTTTTTATAAAATTATTTTATATGGAAATCTACCTTTAAAAATGCTTCAAGTGACTATTTCTAGTTTTTTTAAAAAATAAAATTTTTTTCGCTAAACTTTGAATTCTTTATTAAAAGTTTTTAACCTGGACAACTTGTTAAATTTTTGTCGTCATAAATTACTCATTAATTTTTAAAAAATATTATAGACGTATTTAATATTTCGATTTATATGTTTAACAGGTTAAGATTAATCTTAACAACTCGTTTACTTTTGGTAAAGTATATTAACCTTTTATGATTTAGAAGTGTATAAATAGTACCAAATATAATGAATTTATAGCAACTGTTTTGTTGAGTTCGCAAAAATTATTTTTCTCGTTTTCTATCTTTTTATCAAAACCAATTATTTTGTGAAGCTCTTGTTATTAATATAATATTTACACCTTAAAATCTTATTTTCTTAATTTTCACGCCTTAAGCCGCCAAAAAAATAAAGGTAAACGGTTTATATGCTAATTCTGTCTTTAAATTTTAATTAACTTATAATAATTTTTAAGGATGTACAGTTTATTACTGCTCTTGAGTTTTCTCATCGCCGACGAACAGTACTTCATATGACCACTGGAAGCTCCGAGCTTGACAAACTTTTACAAGGTCGAGCGCTTTCTGTTGTTTATCAACAGATTTTTTTCAATTTATAGAAATTATTTTTGGAGGTTCATTCTTTGACTATACTTAAACTTTTTTATATTAATTATACAGAGATAAATACTTTTTTGTTATTTATAATTTATATTGCGGTGCTCATATTTATACTTTACCAAAAATTGATCATAGTAAATACACAATATCTGGAAATTATTATTACTATTAATAATTTAGTGATTTATTTCTATAAATATAAAATATATTTTTACATATTAACTCCTGTAATTTTACAGGTAATATATATTATTGAACTTTAGTAGATTTTATTGTGATTTATAATAAGCTTGAATATATTTATAACTTTTTTAAAAAAAATTTTTTTATTAAGTTTTAAAAAATTAACTTAATAAATTATAATAAATTAAAAATGAAGCCGTTTTTTTAAGTAATAAAGTTTATATAAATATTAAAGGAGGTTTTGAAACTCAGCAGATCTCCGAAATTTTTGGGGAATTCAGAACCGGTAAATTAACGTTGAACTCCTTATTTTAGCAAAGCAATACTTTAATAATAAGGAAAAACCCAACTTTGCCACACGCTTTGCGTGACTTGTCAGCTTCCTCTGTCTGATGGTGGCGCCGCAGGAAAAGTGGCCTATATTGACACTGAAGTCAGTCCAACTTTTATTATTATGATTATTATAACTAATGATTTAATTTAACAATCTTAGGGGACTTTGTATGAATTTTTTATTCCTCTACTTTTTTTTAAATTATTCTATTAAAATAAATACTTCTCCACTCCTGGCAGTCGGCCAGATAGACTAGTTAGTATTGCAAGAAGGTTCAATCTCGATGCGGATATTGTACTGGAAAACACAATGTTTGCGAGGTATTCATTATTTTTTTTATTAATAGTTATTATTGTTCATAATAACTCTTTTTAAAAAAAAAAGAGCATATACAAGCGATCATCAACTGGAACTCATAACTTTGTGCGCTGCAAAATTTGCGGAGGACCGGGGATTGTTTAAACTACTGGTTTGTTATTATTATATTATTTATTTATATATATTTTAATCATAAATATTTATAAGATTAATTACTTTTGTTAAGATCATCGATTCTATAATTGCCCTTTTAAGAGTGGATTACAGCGGCCGAGGAGAATTGGCTGGTAATTTTTTTTTAAATATTATTAGAAAATAATTCTTTACTATTATTATAAGAAATATAAAAGATAAAATAATAGTTTAGTTTATAAAATAATGGTTATGAAAATGGATATGAAAGCAACTGATAACACTAAAGATAACACTAAAGAAACTAGTAGAAAAAATTTAAAATAATATTATTCATATGCGTTTTATCAAAATTTTATGCGGTAGACAGGCAACAAAAACTGGCGAGAATGCTTTCATACTTGACTAAAATTGCAGAGCAATTTAATGTTGCTGTGGTTATAACCAATCAGGTTTTCTTCTTCCTTTTTTATATATAGTAAATATGCTGAGGAAACCACTATAATATAAAAATGCATTGCTATTTTTTGTTATTTCTGCTTTTTATATGCTTTTTTACAAAAATCTAAACATTTTCATAATTTGTATTTTTATTTTTTTTTTGAGCACATTTCTCAAGCACTTTTGTTACTTTTTCTTCAGCTTCTATTTTTTATTTTACACTATCATATAATATTTATACTTTATTCTTGTTTTTTCACGATATTTATACATTTTTTACAACCCTGTTTATATAAAAGGTCATTTATAGAGCCACAGTCTATCAACTGTTATATAAAAACATACTTTATTAATAAGATTTTGTAATCGCTTTCGTATTTATATGTAATTACCTTTATAAACACGCTTTATTTAAATTTATATGTACCATATAATTATCTTTTCTAATTTCTACGCCGGTTTTTAGATGACCGCCGATCCCGGCGCAGGCATGAGCTTCGTAGCCGACCCGAAAAAGCCAGTAGGAGGTCCAATTTATAAAATTAATTATTAAAAATCTACTGGATAAAACTCCAATTTTTTTAAACAGGTCACGTGCTCTCACATGCTTCACATTTGAGGCTTTCATTGCGAAAAGGTCGAGGAGATAACCGCATCTGCAAAATATACGATGTATCATTACATTTTTATATCTGAAAGATAATAACTTATTTTCAAATCTACTTGATACCAAAGCAATTTTATATATAATAATTTTTTTTAAAGAACGACATTTATAATATATTAGGTCTTATTGTTTTCTTATCGATTATATTATATTAAAAAATTTTAGTTTCATTTATGTTATATTATAATTTATCTGTAAAAGAGTCCGAACTTACCTGAAAGCGAGGGCATGTTTTCTATATCAGGTTTATAGATTTTTCAAGTTTGTTCCAAATAATAATTATATAGTTAGCAAGTAACTTTCAGCGAATCTCCTTTTAGTCTTTCTAATTTTATTTTTCTAGAGGGAGGAATATGTGATCCTACTCAGTAAAAGTTGCTTACTAAGGGGTCAATGAAAATCTCATTCTCAAAAATTATTATTTTATTAAAAAAAAATTAATGTTATAGTTGAAAAAGTAAAGTACATTATTAAAGGGCATAATTCATTAGTATTGTGTGTGAAATTTTATCAGAAAGCTAATTATAGAAACGAAAAATATTGAACTAATAATATACTATAACTTGTCAATTCGCCGATTTTCTAATAATATTATACTAAAGTCCTCTAATTTCTGTAAATATTTTTACACATGATTTAACTTTTTACATAAAAATAATAAACACATGAAACTATCGCCTCAAAAATAAAAACACGCAGGCCACAAAAGAAAGCAAAAAAACTGAGGAATTTAAGTGCTTTATTAGTATGTGTCTCTGGATAATTTGTTGCTTTTTACTAAAGTGGTAGAGATGACCTAATCTATGATAGTTACGCCTATTAAAGTAAAAAAATAATCACGAATGGCCTTTTTTATTTCATTTGTAAATGAATTCTCATGGTGCTCGGTCGAGTCAACAAATTTTTAATATGTCGTCTTCTCCGATAGGCGTAGCCACATTTTCAACTACGAAAGCGTTCAAGATTTATTATATTACTAATGACTTGCGAATTCTGGGGATCCTACGACGAATGTTAAATCTTAGAAACATTGTTATTGCTTGCACAAGGAAAACCATGTCCAATTCAGCGTGTCGTTAAGTTATAGTTTTTTTTATAAAAGAAGATAGTGACATTCATAACATAACTCAAAGGGTTTAAGATTGCTTTTAATATTTTCTATTTATAAGGGTGCTCTGCCTATAATCTTACTGAATGAACCCAAGTGTTATACATATTGCTATATGCTTACTATGGAAAATTATAATTATAGTAATTATAAAGTGCTTATAGCAAATGCTTGGGGCGCCAGTAGTTTTTCTTATAAGTAGATGGCGAAAATTGGTACTCGTAAGCGTTAAACTTCAAAGACTCGAGCTATCTGAAAGGTTTAGCCGGTAGGCCTGTTTGGGTAATGAGCAATGGCTATAACGATATTGTCTCTGCTAGGGCCATTTAGTGTTACTACTAGCCCAACTAGGTGGCTACCGGTTGATATGTTCAACTATAGCTGAGATAACGCTAGCTTGATAAGGAGCGGGTTAGTATACATGCTAGTTTAGAAATGTATCTCTAACTAGAGAACTAGCTAATCTTCGGCTTTTATAACTCATAACTAGTGTTATAATTAATATGTCTAAGTATATCACCCACTCCCGGATAACGAAGAGATGCTTACGAGTTTCATACAGGCATTAAATTTTTAGGATGCTTATGTCCCGCAAAACACTATAATCCTGTACCCTTGAATAGGCTTCGTTATATGAGAGTTGTTTATTCTGAAGGGAGAATGGTAGCAGGCGTGGAGTAAGAAGTATATATATACTAAAAAGGTATAGTTGTAGAATTCGTCAGTTACAACTACCCTTTACTACTGCAATCTGCTAGCAACCTTGAAGTGAGGGGGGCTCTTTTTAAAATGTATGGTGGAAAAGTTCATAGAAAATTTTATGATGCCTATTGCACCATGCCAAAAAGTGGACGCCAACATTAAGGGGCTGGAAATCGAATAAACTAATAGATTTAACTAACGTAGCCCACGGATTATAGTGGAGGCAGACTACACGAGTTAGGTTTATTCTAAAATTAATTTGAATGCGAAACGGTAAGAAGAAAACGCATACACTGATTCCGCAAATCATTAATAATTTTTATAATGGGACTTATATTATCTTTTACAATGGCAAATGTGATCGAGGTTTTAAATATGAATCGATTAAAAAAGAGGAGGCAAAAAAAAAGGAAAGTGGTTGAACGGCCAGGTTCAAGACTGAAACTGATGTGAACGGTAAAGAAGTAGAAAAGTTATAGAAGTTTTTCATGTTAATTTAAAAAAGATACGAATTTTTAAAATAAATAAATATACCGCTCGCGGAGAAGGTGGTTCGTGGATGTGACATTAGAATTCGGTTTGCTAATAGGTTTCACGAACCTAATGAGCGGATGCATTTGAAAAAAAATCTCTAAGAACCATTAGAGCATCTCGCTATACAAATTTTCATAATGTCAAAATCGCTTGAGAGTAACGGGAGAGCATAAGTTACACTCGATAAAATTCTAAATTTGCTCGGGCTCGGGCAGAGCTGGTCGTCAAAAAACTAAGAAATATAGAAATTGAGTCTGCCTACCAAGATAATTATGGATAAGGAAGCTTCTTTAATAGCAGCGAGATGAAGCAATTCTTGAGAGGATGTAAAACAAAATCAGTATATGTTACAAGTCAAAATTTTCTGTTACAACAAAATTCTGAAAGCTTTTGGGTGTAGCCCCTACTGAATGATGTGATAAAAGAATGTGCTACTTTAACTAACTTAAACTAAAAAAGAAGAAAATGGTGGAGCGGGCCGAAAGACGAAGATAGTTTGACTGCGAAGTCCAGGCTACGTAGGAAAAAGGCAAAGGGTTTAAGAAAGAATGGGCGGAGAAGTAGCAAACTTAAACAAGAAATAAGCTGAAGGTCTTAAAGAGGGTCACACAGTGCACCTTGTTATAGAGAAAAGGTAATAGATTAGATTATAACCACTGGCAGCACCCCTGCTATTATACTTATTGCTATTGCTCATGGCAAATATAGGGCCCGACAGGATGGACAAGATATAGTTTACCATCATAGCTAGTTTAAGTTAGCGAGGTTTACAAGTTATAGAATTTTAAGACGCGTAGAAAACAAATTTTATGTAGGTCAGTTCTTTAATTAACCGAGTATACACCTGTTAAGGAAAAAGAGGAGTTTTCTGAACTATGTTAAAGTAAAAAGGCGTACATGGCTTCATGAAGTAGCTTCTGTGATGGACAAGAGAATAGATTTTAACTGGGGGGGAAGGGTTTAGAGCTTTCCGGAGTCCCAACAGATGAAGTGGTGGGGTAGTACAAAATTGTACTACTGGATCAAGTACAAACTTTTACACTAAAAAATTACGAATAATTTCTTTAGGCAGTCTTTTGAATGATGCGCAGCTTGCGCTAAAAGTTAGACTTAAAGAGCGATGAATTCAATTTACTATACGGATAGTAAACGAGGAGATGTAACTACCGGAAGGTGAAGGGTAAAAAATAGTAATAATAAGTCACATGGAGAATCCAGTTGTTCCCTTTTTCTCTCTTTTTTTCTTCTTTCTAGTAGGTTTCCCGTTGTGTGCGAACTAAGTCTTTTCTGCGTGTAGAAGTAAACCGGGATGGTTTAATAATAGATATATATATAGTGTTAAAAACTATTATTATACTTTTATCAATCACTTGATATCCAGTGTTCACGCTAAGATCTAACAAATAACAAGACAATTTATGTGTTTCTTGCCCCCATTATATATGGATACCCGCTCTTAACCCTAACCTGGTGTTACACCCATCATGTCTTTCAAGGTGTTTCAAAAATCAAAATTTTAATTATTAAATTACCAAATATTCAAGTCAGGCAGAATGCGTTGTCACAGTAGCTCAGTAGTTAGAGCATTAACTCGCAAACATAATGTGGCGAGTTCAATTTCCGTCAGTGCGGCCCACACTTTCTGGTCTTGGAGGTTACAGGTACATCCTACCAGAACGCAATTTTTCTAGGTTTACTGTTAAATAATTGCTATGTACATATATATATATTGTCCTATTTGATCAAGCACTTGCATGTCACGGTGGACTGCATTTTTTAAATCTCTTCCCGCTGAGTTGTTGCCTCGGCAGTTCCATATAAATTACTTGCTGGCTATTAAAGTTCCCGCAATGAATTAAGGGCGCGCGATATTGCAACATCCCACTTCTCTATCATCTTAACTGCTTTTTAAAACTAGTCCTGTAATTATAATTAAAGTTATTTTACTTATTATAAAGCACAAGAGAAATGAACCTTAAATAGTGTTATATATTGGTGTACACTTCATGTATATTTATTGCTACTGCTTTACTGCACCATCAGTATTAATTATGTATGATTAATACTTCTAAGTTGATGTATCAGTATGCATTTTAAGCTGCTATTTTTTTAAAAGTGATTGAGGCGAGCTACAATATTAGACTAAAATAATAAAAGGGGTTGAAAATGGCAATTCTTTAGTTCAGAAAGGCGGCTGTTAGGTGATTCCATTTTTAAAAGAAAATATATCATTCTTTTTTTTTCATTAAATATTATCTTTTACCCCTTAAAATATAAAAAGACAAAACCTTTTTGGTTGAATTAATGCTTATAATGCTCGCACTTAACGGTGTTTGAGTTTTTTACCACGCCAAAGTGGGGGTCCCCTTTTTAAATGAAGCATCCTTATCCATTAAATAGTTCACGTGCATTTTATTTCATTCACATGACTTCTAACAGGTTTTTCACAAATATCTTCAATTCTGTTTCACTCTTCAATTTTTAAGTCCACTGCTTCTAGCGATGGCTGCTCGTTTACCACGATTAGTTTCTCTTGGTTGCAAATCTTTCCGGTCTCCTTTTCGGAACTTATTATCTTTCTCTCGCGCTAATATTCTTAGTTCTTATAATACTAAGTTAAGCTACTTGCCTCTTCGTTATAATTCTCATGGTAGTCAAAATTTTTAAAAAGTTTTGCCTCATTAAATTATTATTTATATCATTATCCTGTAGCTGTTGCTAAACTAAAAAAATCTGTTGAAAGCGAAATTAAACATGAAAATGAACACTTAGGTGAAAAATTCCCCGATCTTGGACAGTTTGCAAAGAAATTAAACTATACTGTATGGACTACTTTTTTAAAATAAATAATTTATTTAAACAACAAAGTTAATATTGTAATCCATATACATTGTGTTATAGGTGGAACATGTTTATGGAGAAAAGACGGTCAAGTTGACTCGAAAAGTCGACGATCATTTGTGCGCTGACTATAAAATTAATTTATTTTTTAATTACCTTTTGCATTTCATTGTATATAATTAGGATTGTTGTCGAGTTTGTCGTAGATGATGACTATGCTCAACCTTTTGATGAGAATGAAGATATGGGTATGGAGGGACAAAACGAAGGCGAGAATGAAGCTCAGTTCAAAGATTATGATGATTCGGTGATTCACCATTTATCTATTAATACTTTTATTTGTTATAAATTATTTAATAGTATTATATATATTTATAATTCAGATAATACTTTTTTTAAGTGATACATTTTATAAAATAGTGTAAAACTAAAATATTTATATTTTTTTTACAGCCACTTAATATATTCTTTTATTATTTTTAATATTTTTTCGTTTTATGTACAATAAGATTTTGGAAAATTATTCCGTCATATATAAAAATTTTTACAGAAATTTATTACTATATAATATATTATCTGTTTAATTTCTGAAATTTTTTATTTAATTTTTTTAGACTTCTTCTTTTTCCTGCGATATTACCATCAGCAAACCTTCCGTAAGTTTCATGCTTTTATTATATATAAATAATAGAATAGAGGGAGAAACTAGAAATATAATACGAGTTTTGTATATATATCTATATTTCCAACTATTATTGAAAAATTATTACAAAAAATTCTTAATTTATTAATTTTCTTTTACAAAGTTTATGTGTAATACAACATCTTCACTTTCTTCGTTGATCAATTTTTTTTTGCAAGGTTAAAGGGTGACTGATTAAGATTTACTATTTTACTTTATTCTTTTATTATTGTTTAAAGTATTTAAATTAAGGAAAGAATTTTTCTTTAGTTATCGTTATAAAGTGTTCAACCAACTCTTTGTTTATTATAACTTTTAGCTTAGAACTTTTGATTTCTTTATATTATATAAAGATTTATTATACGAATAAGTTATACTTTTTGGATGCAAGTTTATGAGATTTCTATTTTTTTATAGAAAAACTTAATTGTTTTTGCCCTCTAATTCACTAATAAAGAATGAAAAGTCTACTTGCTTAATTATGTCTTTCAACAATTTTTATTCAAGAAATATAATTAAAGTTTATCAGCTTTTTCTTAAAATATTTTTAAATTCATAAAATTCTTTGCACTAATTTTGCGGAATCATATTGCCCGCTATAAATAATTTGCGCCTTTTTTCGTTTGATAAGTATGATAGGTTTTTTAATAAAAATTTGACTCTTTTTTGTTTGTCCATTTTTTTTACACTTTCTACGTGAAAATTATAAGCTGCTGTTAAATTTTTTCAATATCATTAAGTCATCTTTAAATTTTTAATAACTTTTGATAAATCGCTCCTAAATTTTACAAAAGTGTTTAAGTGATAAAGTATATTATTATAAAAAACTTTTTATGCCTTATTATTTTGCATTTTTTTTTAAAAGTTTTATTTATATAAAGAAACCCGAAGCTGGAATACTCATATGCTCTCTTGAAATACACAGCGAAGATTTTGAATTGTTTTCTGTCCAGTACGTTAAAAATTTAGAAGATTCAGGTCTGCTATTATATTGTATTATTTTTTTCTTTACTTATATATTTATATAGTTTTCATTATTTTTTATTGTACGAAAATTTATTTTGATAAGTTTATTTATATTAACTTTTTACTGTCATTTATTAGAAAATTCTTATCGGGGTCCAAAACTTACCGAGTTGGACGAAAGTTTAAATTCTGCACTCGTGAAATATTTAAATTTTCTTGGAATTAACTCTGATCTTGCCGGGGCCATAGCTGTAAGCTTTGCTTCAATATACGCCTTTATAAGAAAGAAATCATTTTTTTAGTAGTTTTTATTTGTAAATCTTTAATTGCAGAATTTGTATTTTGTATTTTATTGGGAGCTTTTATATTGTTTTTGAAAATAGTTTTTGTGGCACTTTTTTATACATTAAATATAATTTTAAGGATTCAAAATTGAATTAATTATATTATTTTGTTCATTTATTGTTATTTCTAATTTTATATTTATATTTATATATATTTTTTCTATCTTGTTGATAGTTTAATATATTTGTTTATTATTTTATAATTTTTCTTATAAAGCAGACTTTTTTATGTATATTTCTAAACTCTTAATTATTTATTTCACAATAAAATTTTTGCAGATTTTTTTAAATTCAATATTTCGAACTTTTTGGCTCTAATATATTTTACTAAATTTTATTAATTTTATTTTTTATTTTTATAATTTATAGAGTTACTTATATGATTAATGTTTTTTATATTTTCGTATAATAACCTTTTATGTTTTGTTTTTTTTAGACTTTCCTATATACAAAAAATCTTTATTATTAAATTTTAATATTATTTTTTATTTTTTATTTTTTATTTATTATTATAATACGTTTATATTCATTATATTATCGTTTTATTTATTATCATATTTTTTATTAATCATAAATTATATTTTCAGTTTCTATTAGTTTTTATTATTTTTACTTTTTTTGTGCTTCATTGCTTTTATTTATTTTATACTTGATGTAGTTTATTTGTAAAATATTTCTTATGTTTATACAACTTTTTCTCATATTTTTATAATAGTTTGTTATAATTCTTTTTTGGTTATAATAATTTTATTTCTGCATTCAATTATTTGTCTTAAGCTTTATACTATTTAATAATATTTTTTATATACTTTTACACTATCATAATAATTATATTAATTATTTTGATTTCTATAAAATATATATCTATAAACTTAATATTTTACTTTTCTTATATTATTTTTATTTCTAATATCTTTTTACTTCCATATATTTATACTAATAGTAGATTAATATAATTTTTTTAAATGTATTAAAAATAATTAAGTTACTATAAGTAAAACTTTTTTCGCTAACATTATTTTTAAAGATTATTCGCGAGGAAAAGGAAAAGCGAGAATACTTACTTTGGTTAGAAGGTCTGAAGAAGTTTATTAGTCATTAGTTTAGTACTTTACGATTTTCTGTATAATAAAGCTTTTAAAAATATATATGGACAATTTAGTGTTTTTTTATTAAAGCTTTTCATATGTTATTATTTTTATTATTATAATTATATATATATAAAAGTAATAATTAATAAAAGTCTACTATTTATTTATTTCTTCACGTTATCCTTTATTATTAATTATATTATTAAATAAAAAGAAAAGTTTTAATATTCCTTTAGTTCAAAATATTATTTTAATTCATTTAATTATAGTTGCTTTGGGATAAAGTTTTTATACATTTATTATTACATCCATTATTGTTACGAAAAGTCTTAAATTTTTTTATACTAAATTTATTAAATTTTTTATTCCCGTCCGTCTCTTCATTTGTCTGTTTGTTTTATTAGTATTTTTATACTTATAGCTGTTATATTTTATCACTAATTTTTTTTTAGGTCTATAATATTTTTACATATAAAATTATAATTTTTCTAGGTAAGTGATTACTATTTGTTAAAAGTTTCTAAAAAAGTTATTAAAGAAAATGTTTATATGTTAATATTTTTTTTTTAATTTTTTTTTTTACTATTTAATTATGAAAATGTTACATCTTTTACGTTATTTTGTATTATAAATTTTTTTATTTTTATATTTATTTTTACAGTATAATAATATTTTAAATATTATATAAGTTTAATACATTTTTGTATTTTATATTTTTTATATTAGTCTTGTGAGGATTGGAAAAGACTAAATTTGTTTTTTTAATTGCGGTCTATAGTTAATAACTGTTTATATATTATAAAAGTTTTTAACTTTTCGTATTTTACTTTTTTAGTCGATTAATTAAAATTTTAGAAAATTTTTTGATAATATTATATTTACTTTGTTTTTATGTCGTTTGTCTGGTATATTTATTTAGAATTTTTAGTTTATAATTATAACCAACATCTTGGAAGAATAGAAAGGAATTTAATAATATAATAAAGAAACCACTAAATCTTAAATAATTTTATGGAATTTGGAAAAAATAATAATTTATTAAAAATATTATTTAAAAGTAACTATTCTAAACAACATATCCGATTTATTATATAAACTCGGCAACTCTGCAATGTTGAAGTGAACAAATTTACTATATTTTTTGGGTTGAAGCGGGTTTGTGTCGAGGGTTAGCCTTGGACGTATACCTTATAGTATTTTTACTTAAAAGTTTTTGTTTTATGTATAGTTTATGAATAAGAAGTTTTTAATTACTAAAAAATATTATTAAATACTTCTGCTGAAAGTTTTAATTTTTTTATAAAAATAAAAGAAATATTACCTTCCAAGCGCTCTACTTTTAAAACTTGTAGTTTAGAAGTTGTTGTCGTGGATTTAGAGCTCTCTATTATAGGAAGAATTAAAATAATTGTAGCTTAAAAGTCTCCCATTAGGTCTCCACATAAATTTGGTGTTAATAAACTTTTTGCGGCTCTGTTATTCCTAGAATGGCACTACCTTGTAGTGCCTATAAATGCGTAGATTCCAAGCAGGAAACAAAGATCAGAAAAAATTAAATTCCCATGCTAATTAGGGGCGCTCGTAACTGACAGTTCCTCCATTATCTTGTTGGCTGGATATTCAAAACTTTAAAAGTTCTTTCTGAAATAGCAGGCCGAAAATGCCATTGGAATGAGGTTTGTCGAAAAGGATGTGATAAAGCGCATCCTTTCTAGTTGATGGTGTTACTATTTATTAAGGTAGTCATATATTCTCGCACACTCAATTGAGAGAGGGAAAGTAGAACAAGCAGCATTTGATTATATATCAAACCTGTGATAACCAGTACATAAATAAAAATGAATAGATAGTCTATATACTCTATGGATATAAAAAAATTAAAGGCAATTTTTTCCCTTTTAAGGTTGCTTTTTTATTTTGATGTTAGCCGGAGTTGCATTTGCATTTCAGTAAGTTACCTGCAAATCGGTTTCTTTTACAAAAAGTTAATAGCTTCAGTCTCTAACTAGAAAGACAATTTTTATAGCTTCATGGACACCACAACGACAGCACAGTGCTCTCTACAAAAAGAGAATATATAAAATTTTTCATATATTAGAATGCTATACTTAAAAGATGTATTTATAGCATCTTTGTAGAATCAATAAAGTATTTAATCTGAACAAAAAATTTGTCAAAAATGACATGCCAAGGCAGAGAAATATTTAACAAAGAGGCAAAGACAATTGATAAGTAAGAATAAGGCTTTAAAAGTTTTTTAAGTTAGGTTGTGTATATGTGGATCTGTTCCTTGGTATTAGTACATTATTTTATATAACATACCAATATTTATTAAATTTACATGTTATTTATCAACTTGTATTTCTTTCTTATTTAAGTTTACTAGTTTAGAATTAATTTTTTCGTAAGGTAATTTACAAATATCTTTAGCTTGCAAGTATAATATATAATTTTGTGTATTAAACTTACATTTCTTGCGCTAATCTAAGTCTTATAAATAAAATAACGTTAAAATATTAAAAGATGTACTAAGTAGTTACTTAAACTTTTACGATTTTTAAACAAAATCAATAAAATTTTCCTTCATACTTATTTTAACAACGAAGACTAAAGTTACAAAAAAAATAAATTTTAAGAAAATTTGATAAACTAAATAGTACTATACACATAGTTTTCAGATTAAAAATTAAAAGGCGTAAAATAATTATTTATGCCTATATCTAAATATCAAAGGAAGGCATTACTAAAACAGGCTAAAATTTTTTTACTAATTGCCTAATATTTCGTTTTATTAATTTATATACGAAGGTTTTTTTTTTCTTGAATTTAAGAGAGTCATAAACTTTGAATACTCGAGCTCTCGTTCAGGTGTTAATACTAAACAATGACTAGCGTTTAATGCGCATCAAGTAGACAGGGATAACGTGTCTAAACTCATAACTCGTAAATGAGCTCGCTCCTCGAAGGACTGAGAGGCCATCAGAAAATTATCGACTCGGGCTCTCGCCATTTAGCCTGGTGTGGTGGGAAACAGCAAAAAATATTAAACTGATGATCGATGATAGACACTTGGATCGGTTCTTTAAACGCAGCGAGTTTGTCGACGAGCATTGCAAGGAGATTGTCGTTGTAAAACTCAACGGGAAGCCAAGGAGTCCCACTGAAGAATAGCTTGAAGCGGTAAAGTGGATGACCACCATGTTGGACGAGCTCGTCCGGTAACTTTGCGGTTGCTTTCAACGCTATGGTAACCATTATGCTCGTTTTTGTAAAAACGGTAAAGAGAAATAATAAGAGTTTTGAGAGGTATTCCTATTTAGTTACCTGACATAAATCGGACGCTCGTAATTCTAATGGGGTTGAGTGTTTGTTTAGTTAAAAGGAACAGCAAGATAACCTAATTGAAGGACATAAAAGCAGCAAGCATTGAGGAGGTGAAAAAAGAGCCGGAAATATATGCACATGTGCAATGCTCATCAGGTTCTTAATGAGAGATGCGTAGTAGAGATACAGAAGAGCCCGAGTGGATGAGTTATTATTATGACAGTAAGGAATTAAAAATTCTTCGACACTTCTGATTACATGAAGGGTTTTTACCAGGAGAGATAGACGTTCATTCAAAGTATTTTGCTTTTACTATTTCTAGCGGGCAGGAGGGTCCAGTGGGCTGTGTTGCCTTTTAGTTACGTGAGTGCACCCTTCGAATACAAAAAAGCATGTAACAAGGACTGGCTTGCAGAATACTTAGTCCACGTAGTTAACCACTATCAGGCACTTTGTGATCTAATGACCAGATATGAAAAATTATATGTAAAGATAAGGTTAGAAAAATGCAAGCTTGTTCGAAGCGAGTAGGGTGGCTGGGGAGAGAACTCACCAACTCGGGAAACAGAATGGGGGGAGATCGCGTTCAAGCGTTTAAAAACATGCCAAAACCAAAATTAAAAGGTAACTTAACTAGTTTTTTAGTCTTTAAATTTCTTGAGTAATTACACCCCTCATTGTGCAGTAATCACGGAATCTCGTGGTGCATAGTTAAAAGGTAAAATTTGTATGGAGCAATGAGCAAGAAGATTCGTGGAGCAAAACCTTATAGTTATAAAATCGGAAAGTATGCGTCGAGTATATAAATAATATGACTTATTGCTTCGACAGATGCCAGTGTTACAGAGATGGGGTGTGTCTTATCTCAAAGATACAATGACCGCTTGCACTACATAACATTTATGAGTACTAAATTAGATGAAGCTCCAAGAAAGTATAGCGTAAAAAATAGGGAGGTCTTCGCTGTTGCTTGGCCCACTAACCAATGAGTAGACTATATTCATTTAAATGAAAAAGAGATTTATAGTTGAAACAGGCCATAAATACCTTCTTGGAGTTTTTAATAGTGAGCAAGAAGCTGAAACTGAGGGGAAAAAGAATTAACAGGTTTTAAATATATAATGAGTAATATATATTAACCACTAAAGTGCATACATGGTAAAAATATCATTACAGATTTACTCTCAAGGCTCCCAGCCGATGAAAATTTAGTTGTTGAAGAGGTAAAGTTTACTTTAACTAATGAAAACCAAGCTAATTTTGATGTTATTAAGCAAATTCACGAAAACTGGTTTCACGTGGTAATAAAGAAGTTGAAACACTTGGTTGGCAATGACATACCCTATACTTAAATAGAAAAAGTTGTCAACAGGTGTGATGTATGCCAACGTTTTAGCAATAGAAATGTACTTCCTAGAAAGAAACTTAAATTGATCGATAGAGCGGAGGAACTTATGGAGCATCTGGACAATATAATGAAAATGCCGAAGACTCAGAAGGGTGTGGACATTGTCCTGGCGATTTTGGATAGATAGTCAAGGTTTTTATGGACGTTTTCCCCTCTAAAGGTTACGGCAGGAGGTGAAAAACTACCTTAAAGAAGTGTTCAAGTGGCGAGTCCCTAAGAAAATAACATACGATAGGGAATCAATTTTTGTGAGCAAAGCCCTGTCTCGACTTCTGGTTGAAAAAGGTTTTGAAGCCCATTTTGTCAATACAAACCATCATCAGAGCAATGGAATGGCTAAAAGGGTGCTTAGAATCATCCAAAATTCCTTGTTAAAAGCATGTGCTTAGGAAAATGTTGAGTGGCTTTCAATCATAGAGAACTACATATACAAGCTCAACAGATTACCAAATATAGTAGGCGTCAGCCCGTTGTTTATAGTTTTAATTGGAGCCTGAGTACGAGCTTTAACTGGACAAGCACGCCTAAAGTTTATTAATAAGTTAATTGCGATGCTAAGGGCGCGTGAAATTACAGGAAGCTCACATCGATAGCGATGAGTTAAAGAACCCAAAAAAAGGCTGATTGCACAAATAAAAACAGTTGGAAGAGAATATTAAGTTACAATATGATAAGAAGGTTAAAAATGGAAAGAGTTTAGAGTCAGACCAAACAGTTTTATTGAAATATTTGGTAGTAAATTAGATGGTGAAAATTGGGAGGGCCCCGGTACCATTATTAAGGTGCTAGACAACGGTTTGTACCTGGTAGAACATGAAGGAAAAACGTTGACTAGACACCGGAACCAGCTGAAGATTGATTCTGTTAGTGATATCAAGTTTTCTAAGGCTTTACGAAGATTAGGAAATAAGCTCTACGAGTTAGAATTATTCAATAGCCCCAAAAGCTGACCTTGAAGACTAAACGTGAACTCATAAGGTTTTTTACCATAAAGTGTAGTAGAAAAGTCCCCGAATGTCCGTGATTAATCCTACCATGTACCTTAATGTAAAGATATAATTAGCCGGGAAGACTGCTCAAAAGCCTCATCTCGTGTGCGTTGAAGCTGGCGCGAGGGTGCGTTTTTGCGTGATAGTCGATTCAGTGCGTGTTTGTTTGTATATCGGGCGAGCAACGCAATAAAGTTGTATATCTATAATCCTGGTTGTTGTTCGCTACCTTTTATAGGCCCTATAGTTAAACACTAAGAGAGAAGATCGGACGTTTTAAACAAACATATGTTAAACTACCTTGAGGCTCCATGACAGCACCACAGGTCTGAAATTATTTCGGGTTGTTGGCATACAACGGAATGAACCGTCCCCACATTGAATTAAACCAAGTGAAGTTTTAAGTGACTGCTTCAGAGCTTAGAATGCGTTCAAAATAAAAATCTCTGTAACATGCAAAAGAATGAAAGACGTTATCCAACAATATGCCAACTGTCTGTCTGGGCCTCATTTCTAGTCAAAGAGGGACAACGCAGGTCAAAAAGGAACTTAAGATAATACAGGAATTACCAAGCTACATAAGATTTTTTGCCCGTATCCATAGATAAGAGAAGGATTCTAGTAAGATGTTCTAATTAGAGCAGCACTATAGCAATTATCAAGGAAACCTTAACTACCAGTATGTTCTTAATACATCATTGTAAGCCGAATACTAACACAAAGTCATGAACAACTCTAATTGCTTTATTCTTTTATACCTTTAGTTACCCACAGTTTAACTTTAAGAAGTAAACTTTATAAGTTTTTAAATGTATAATTACAGAGTCTGTGCATAAAGGAGACATGCAAATATTAAGGTAAAAAAAAGTCGGGCACTTCGAAGTAGCTCGTTGGTACAAACCCCTTAAACCCGGAAATTAAATTGATTATAGAGTGCCTATTAATTATTCGTTCAAACAAAGAATTGCGTGGAACTTTAAACAGATAGAAGCGTTGAATTTATTAATGACAAACTATTCCAAGGTCTTCACATCGCAGGCGACAAATCATTATTGAAAGATACACTACAATATATACTGAACGAAAGAAGCATCCTCACCTTGCCTAATATTAGAAGTTATACCATAAAATAGTTTCAACTTCTAAAAAAATTATGTAATGAAGCCCTTTCCGAAGCGCTAACGTGCCAAAAAAAAGAACAAAATTCGATGAATGAAAATTTTCGAGTTTTCCATCTTTTAGACTTAATATTATCCATTTTTCTAAGCTAAAGACGCTACCAAAGATGAGTACAAAAATACCCAGCGTGTTGACAGGAAAATTAGTAAGATCAGAAGACTTAGCATGTTTTACGGGCTTGTCCTTATTTGACATCTTTTTATAATCCGTCGCGCAAAATTAGGAGAAATATCATTTTAAAAACAACACCACAACACCTTCCGAGTACTACTATTGACACAACTATGGCGCCTTGCACCTAACTTTATAGCATTGAAGAAACAACAACTAGGTGCAACCTCCTCAACTTAGACCGGAAGCAGTTTACAGGGAAACATTATAAAAGGGACAATAGATAAAACTAACTAAAATATCGACAACAATAGTTGTAATAATCGCAAGAGTAGAAACAATAGTAGTAGTAGTAATAATAATACCAATAAAGAACACTCCTCTCAAGCCATAGTTATACACTCACAATGCCACACCGGAAAAGGCGCTTTTAATATAGTTTTTAAATAAACGGTATGTCCAGATCATACTATTAAGAGAAATTTAAAATTAACAAGGATAAAACTTAAAGGAAAACACAGGAAAAAAGGTAAAAATGGTAATTAGGTGGTAACTTAACATAAAGTATACTCCAACAAACCTAAAGGGCCTTTAAAATATAAAACAAAAAGTATAATCCTTGTGAGAAGGGTACCTTTAAGATTAAATTAAAATGTTTACGAAAATTAGGACGATCTTAAACTTTGCAATTATTACTCAGCGCTACTCCTATAAGCAAACCATGTTTTTAAAAAATAAATAAGTGTGCCAAAATAAGAACTTTCAAAATTGTTAACAAGCATTTAAAAAATAAAAACTTATTACTTTTATTACACAAAGTTCTTACATGTTACAACATAATGTGTGCAATCGGGCTACCAAGATAGTTATTGAGATTTAGCTATTTAAAATTGAATCTTTATTTGGCCCTATACAAACTTTCTAAAAAATGTGAAAATTATTACAATTGCATGGAGATTTCAAGTTTAATTAGATAGTCAAATAAAAGCAAGACTGTAAGAGGTTTCCAATAACTATAAAAATTAAGTTTTTCCCTGTCCATTTCAAGAAGCTATCTGATTACTTACTGATAGCTTTAATATTAAAAAACTAGCCCATTTAGTTATAACTACAGCGTTTTTACACACTTAGGATGCAAAATCTAATATAAATAAAGTCAACTATTTTTCATGAATTCTTTTCAAGAATACTATAAAACAAAGAAAATGCGCTTAAAATTAATTTTGCTTTGTACGGCTTAAGTAAATAAGTTAGACTCAACTCAAAGATCTATCTAATAGAATAAAAAGATATGACCGTGAACAAAATAAAACCGAGTAGTGCAATATTCCTTTTTAAAGATTAAAAAAACTCACAGATTTTTCTGTAGACTGCATACTAGTTGAGGAGACAAAAAACTGCTCTCTGAATAAAAAAAGGTGTAGCATGTAACGAAATATATAGATTTTAAAAAGGGTCATGTAAGACAAAAAAAACACATCTGATAGATCAAATCTACAACATCGAACTTTAAAATTTCCTGTTGATACAAAACCCATGTGTAGACATTCTCTGCTGTCCAGCCCAAACTAAACTCCACTGAGGGCCACCCGAGGGGAATAATACGTAGTGCCTCTTAAAAGTCAATGTAATCGCGAACTACAGTAACCTACTTGTCCGCTAGAGGGGTTAGTAGCAGTGCCCCAATAGTTCTCCCACTGCAAAATTGCAATTTTTGGTTAATTACTTGCCGTGTCGAATCCTGTATTTAAGTCAAGCCAGGAAATCACAACACTGCGGTCGTTCACCAGCTAAACTCAATGAAAGTAAAAATATTTATGAAATTTTTCTAGTGATAATATTTAGTGTGGCTTTGTTGATATGACCGGAATTTCTCGGTTAAACGAGAGATCCGTTTTGCATAATCTTACGATCCGCTTCAGGACGACTGGATTTTCGTAATTTACGCTACCTTAAAACTTTTTTGCTTATTTTTTTAGTTAAAAATATGCCTGACATACCAAAAAAAACTTTGGAAAGCACAAGCAGTTTATGATATAGGCAGTTTAGGCAGTGAACGCTTACACCATAATATTCTTAATAAAATTAGTTGCGCCTGACGAAAATTCTTTTTCGTGGTTTGCCTATCTTATATTATATATATATAAAAATTTTAGTTGTAAACAGTGCTAAAGATACCAGTACTGTTTTTAACGCTAACTTTATAAATTATCTTCTTATTTTAATCAGTAGCGCAGAGTTTACTTAAGTTATTATTACTATTACTCAAGGGTTTAAGTCGAAGATCAGTTTTGTAAACAAATATCTAAAATAATTATCAAAATTGAATCAGTCAGTGCTCATTAATCCCATAATACCAGCAAGCTTTTATTCTTTAGTTTCTATGTGTTTTTGTCGGTGTTAATTATTATTAAATTTTAAGATTAAAAATGATTTAGCTTAAAAGGTCAATTTTAGACCAGATTTTTGATGAACCCAATAGCTCCTAATTTCAATCCTTAAAAAGATAAAAATTAAGTAAAAGTCAATGTAACAATAATAAGGCTATATAAAATGACTATAAAAAAAATTGGAAAAAGGAGACTAAAAGGAATGGAAGGACAAGTATTTACAAATATGCTAATAAAAATATATGAGCGGACGGACACTTTGCTAACAGTTGAGTTGCGAGAACGACATTAAAAGACGGCGAGGGGTCGCACGGGAGAAAAAGTTAAGGGGCTTCCTGCTGACCACATGAGTTTGTAAATCTTAATACATAACCACGCGTATAAAAGGTCCAGAGTACATACCCGAACTTCCTCCTTTTGCGAACTTTTTTCCGTTTGGTAACCTGGGCTCTGCCTTACCATGTCCAAACTGAACCGCGCTAAAACTGAACAGCACGTTTCTAATTTGCTGCACCACAGTATGTTTTTTGGCAGTTGCTTTATCCCTATAATAGCTTTACCATTTATAACAGTTTTAGTTTACTATTTAATTTCATCAAATATCTAGGTTTGGAAATTAAGAAGCGAAATTTTGTTGAAACTATTGAGCTTCAAGTTGGCTTGCGTAACTTTGATCCTTCTCGTGATAAGCGTTTTGCAGGAACTGTGCGGTTGCCATATGTTCCAAGGCCACAATTAAAGATTTGCGTAATTGCTGATGAGCAGCACGCTGCTGAGTGCACGAAGCATGAAGTCCCTTTCGTTACTTCTTCCGATATAAAGAAGCTTAACAAAAACAAAAAGGCTGTTATGCAACTTGTTAAAAAGTTCGATGCGTTTTTAGCTTCAGAAAGTCTTTTAAAAATTTTACCCAGGTATGCGGGCCCTTGGTTTACTAAGGCTAACAAATTTCCCGCACTTTTGACCCATAATGACAACTTGCTAACCAAAATTGAAGAAATTAAGGGTACCATCAAATTTCAAATGAAGAAAGTATTATGCATGCATGTTGCTATTGGCAACGTTAATATGCGTAAAGAAGAGCTTCTTAGAAATTTAATTATGGCCGTCAACACACTTGTAGGTCTTCTTAAGAAAAATTGGCAGAACGTCAAGGCTATTTACATAAAAAGTACGATGGGTCCCCCTTTCAAACTCTTCTAAGCTTGTCATTCATATATTATACATCGCTTATTTTGGAAGCGGTTTGCACAGACATAACTAAAATAAATACCAGCGGTGGGTTTTATTTCAGTTTTTATTTCTGCTCCTTTTTATTATTTAACTTTCTAACTATTAAAAACATTTTTGCATTTTCATTTGTTCTGTTAAACAGCTATTTAAACTTTTTCTTATCCGTTATCTATTCTGTTATATCTGGTACATATTTGCTACTTCCCTGCAGCATATAAAAGCTAATACTAATGTTTATAATTCTAAAGATCTGATTTGATTTTTTATAAATTTTCCACTTCGCACACTTAATATAGAAGGTATAAGACTTAATAATTATGGTATCAAAGTATACTTAATATGAGAACTCCGCTAGAAAGGCTTAAAGCTTCAAAACAGTTGTGGCCAGTGACTCACCCAAAGTTAATTCTAATAAATATATCTTACAACTTTCTAGCTCATAAAGTACTGTAATCGAGTTGGTAAGCAATCAAGGATTTAAGAGTCTCAACCCCTTTTGGCTGTAGTCTATCATTTTGCAGTAAACTACGATTCTAAGAGATATAGAGTTTTCTAAAGTTATACGACAACTCGTTTTTCTAGTAGAAGTGGTATGGCGCCTGTGAGAGTTAACGTAAATTCTCATTAACCCCTACTTTTATCAAACCTAACTTAGTTTCTTAAAAATTGGGTGAAGAATTATGACTGGAGGGATTGTAAAACAAAACAAAAGTTTAACGTTTACAATATTTATTCCTTTGCTGTTCACCGTTGACTCAGTTCTCGGTCTAATAGATTCACACTAAACTTGTTAGTGCGTGCATTACGTGAAGAGCTCGTTTCTGTTGCGGAAGTCGTTTGTACACTTGGATTACCGTAGTCTCATAGGAGGAGCTCCAAGTGATTCAGGGTAACTAATGGAGACGAATATAATGTAGTGTCCTCAATTACTTTCGTAATTATCACTTTAGAACTACGTTTAGTTGGGTTGGTACCTAGAATGGACCCCCGCCAGCATAAAGCATACATACTCGGTACTAACTCCAATCATAACAATGTACACTATACCAAGTAAGGCTTATAGTAGAATACGACTATTACATACCCGCGCCGCAGTCTTTATTATAGTTTAGTTAATGAGTCAAACTACTTTTATTATTACAACCATACAGATAGCTTTAGGACTCAGCAAACCATCACTCGTTATGTCACCCTTGCCTCCGTGGGTCTTCAGACGCACTTAGTGGCTAAAAGATGCAGGATTTGATGTAACTTAGCCAATCTTGTGAATGACTCGATTTACTGACTCGACCAGCTCATCTTCAGCTATGTCTAAGAAGAAACAGAACCAGAAGGCAATGCCTAGTATATCGCGTAAGCATCGAAAATAAGAATCAATACTTCATAAACCCTCTTACAAAGCATTCCTCTAGTACTATGACTTCAGCGGGACCAGCCCAAGAATAGCGATCGCTTTCACCTTTCGAATACAGGGAAGATAGTTGTCTTTATGCTTACGCTGTTTCTGGGTTTTTACCAATTTTAAGAGCATCTTTTGCCCGAGAGCTATCAAGTCATATTTCAGAAACCTCATGTAATTCTCCAAGTAACGTACGACCCTGAGCCCATTGCTAGAGTTACGAAGGTACCGAAATCACGGTTTTTCAGTTTTTGTATTACTTTAGAACTTAATTGAGCAACATAAGTGCGGAATCTTCAGTAAACCTCAGCAGAGGTTGACATGACGCAAGGCAGATGAGCCTACATGCGTACGCTAGTCCTTCTCTGAACCGTAACCTGTTGGCAACCACTGTTATTTCTACCTACCAGAGGCCGCGTGGAGTAACCACAGATCGAGACGCGCACCGTACAAGGTTGATCTTTTCCGAACGCTTACGACAAAACGCAACCCTCACTCCCTTAGAGAGTGTACGAAACTTGACGAAAGCCACAAGATAAAGCTAACGGTCAGAGTCATGCCAATTGCTTGACAAAGTGCTACCATTTATAACCCAACTTATGCAGTTGCCGATCGGTTAAAGTAGCGTCGAAAGGTCTTACCTGCTGCGATCCCAGCTAATTTAAGAGTGCCAAGCACCTCCCGCGCAAAGTCAAGATAAATGTTATAAATGTTAAAGGAAAAAAACGCACGGGACGTGCTAAATAATAAAAAGCATCGATTTGAACTAAATTACCATTTTACTATACATAGTTTTCAGAGTCCTTAATTATTTTTAAAAAGTGCTTTTACCTATAGGAAAAAAGTAAATTTCAAATAATTGAAAAACAAAGCTTAAACTCAGATAAAGATAGCATAAGCGAGTGTAAAGTTTTGCAATTAGGGATAAGAAGCACTAAAATAAATACCTTCCTAAGGTGAGGATGGGGAGAGAGGCAAGCATCAAGGTGTTGGATACGATATTGCAGTTTATAACCAGCTTCTTAGGATAATAATTATAATAATAAATGCTGCCCCGCATAGGTGTTAAAGCGTTTAAATTAATAGTTTCATCGATCTTCAATCAAAATCAGTGTTGAGTCAAAAATAGGGAGCCTGGGTTTAACTCGCTCATCCTAGAAAGAGGTTTAGTTGCTCGACTCCTACGCCGAAAGAAAACTTTGAAATTAGTATACTTTAGAGTATTAGGCTAGAGTTGTATTTTCATTTTTCAACTTCCTGCCATATCCACCAGGACTATATTACCAGCACCAATCAAAACCCAGTGTACAATTATTTCGAACCTAACTGCACTAGTGGTACAGGAAAGGAACACAACGCTCCTTTTATTACTTATTTGTATGCCCATCTTCTCAGTTGCTTTGATCTTTGTTACTCGCATTGGATAACTGCTTATCATATTAACTTAGCAGGTTTACTCGTCCTAGACGTCTGCATATCACTCCTTTCTTAGATTTAAATTAAGACCCAGGAACCCAAGAACGACCTGGAACTCAAACTTGCTTATTCTTCATGTGGGGAAAGGGTTGATCATTTCCTTGAAGTCAAGAATGTTACTAAAGCATACATAACACTACTCAACATATCCTTCTATAGTAAAGCATCCTAAAAGTTACTGGAACGAAAACTTTATAACCGAAACCCAGTTTTAATTAGCCAAGTAGAAGAATACCTGCTATAGTCTAACATATGATGATTCAATACAACGGCTCTTTTTTACGGAAAGCTAGCATAGAAGTATTTAGTGTTTTTTTTAATTTATCTAAAGCTAACACTCCTCAAAAAACTAAAGTACATAAGGTTCGAAATAAACAGCACATTATTAAAATTGCTCCTTTACGGTAATAGTTGCAAACGAAAGCTAAGAATGTTACTACTCGGTTATAAAAGAAGAATTAAACAAACTTTCTAAATAAAAAAAACCTTAGTGAATACGTTACGTCACCTTGACTATAAAGTATATTATAATTGAACTTAGATTAACCTTGTGATGTCTAGTTGCTGCTTTTGATATACAAGAGCTAAGTTGTATAAACATAGTTAAGAAAGTTAGCCACAGATTACTATAACTAATTTTATTGCTAAACTGAGAGAGCTCAGCTTAGCCATATTTACGTATTAGGGTTCATAATCTTTTCATCCTCTGAGGGGTTATTTTCACATGCACTTCACAGTAGTTTTCCATATTCATGTTTTAATTGAGTCGCCTCGATCTCGATAAAGGCCTACAGATACCAACTTGGATTAGGATTACACAAGATCATTCTTTCGCAGCCATTCGCTCTGAATTTTTCTTTCCTCAATAATAGGCACCTCTCAATGATTTTTATTCTTATATTCTAAGCCCGTACCAGGATGATGCTCTATAACCGTGCGGAAGAAAATAAGACTTCGTTCTCAAGCTGAAGTACTTGCCAAAGTTAGTTCGTTGAGGTCCAATTTAGTAGGTAAGCATGTTTAAGACACAGGAAGGGCGCCGTTGCCGTCCAGGTACTAACCGCATGGATGGGAAATCTGCGCTGCGTGGTTCGTATAAATCGGATGACGTAGTCGCCTGGGCTTACCCTGGCCTAGCAGCGAATACAGGATTTAAATTTATTTACTTTTTTTACTTTTTTTCGTTCTACTTGGTAGAACACGCTAATTAATCGACTTGCTCCAGTTTGTCGGGAGTTAAATACATAAAATTGCATACATCAAGAAAGCGACATTCTGACCCCGTTCAAAAAAGCTCATAGTGTTCTTTGTATAAAAGCTACAGTGTAACTACGTCTTGACTGATTACAATTCGTTTATGTGGTTGCGAAAAAGTTAATAGTGATTCACTTTTTAAACTTCTAACATGAAGTCCTTGAATTTTTTTTCAATTTACTTGTGTAGTTTGATAATTTTGCATACGCAACCGATGAGTATATTCTAACAGTTGTCGCATCTGTCACAACGGGTCTTATGTAAGTTTTATGGTTCCCTTTTGCTTCTGTAAGGTATTCTTTAAAGGTATAAAAAATTGTTTAAACTTAAAACGGATAGATACGACTTTGACAAGTAGGGGTTGGATGTAACACTTAAAAGTAAGCTCATAAAGAGGATATTAGAAGTCAGAAGTAGTATATTCAGTGGGATAGGAAAGTGCTAGTAAATGATAACTTACAAGTTCAAATAAAAATTATCGAAAAAGCTGTTAGCTTTTGGCTAGCCGTAATCTCAGTCTTCCAGGAGGTCTTGGAACTCTTCAGGTATGTTTCGTGTTTCAGCTCCATTTAATAAGTTGCTACTGGGCTTAATTCAGCTTACATTAACGAAATTTAGTTTTCATTCTACATTTCATTTATGTAAGTAGAAGTTAGTGTTAATATTCATTAATGCGTTGGTTAAACCTTACCTGTTCCCTTATTTACAGCTCTTCATAAATGTCAACCCAATTATATATGTGTATATTAAGTTTTATTATTATCTAAAATAACCTAAGTAAAGGGTTAGAGCAGAGAAAAACAACGTTACTATTAGGTTAAAGTTGAGAAGTATATGTGCTAGAAATATCTAGGTTAGATTAAATACTTAGCGTTTTAATTCGTGCGTTTACTTATAACCTTGTTATTTCTTCATGTAAATATGACCCATT